AAAAAAATACTAAAAGTAATAATTCATCAAAATCTGCAATCTTTTTAAGCGCAATATTTATGATGCAATGGTGTGAAATGTTATTATGAATTCAAAAATGGTTCAAAGTTATGATTCATATGATGTAAAATTCTCTCAATAGAAAAAAAAATTATAACTGAAAATTCATCAATATGCTTTAACATTTTTCATTATAATGCAAATTATTTCTAAATAACAATGTTTGCTTCAGTTTTCACATACGAATGGTTATAAAAAATCTCTTTTCGAGAATTAAGTTTAAAAATAACACTGATTTCAAAGATTTTTGAGAATTGAAATAATCATATGGAAACATAATTTAAATAATAAGTAGAATAATTACATAAATTATGAAATTGCTTTAATTTTAGAAATTAGAAAATTCTTTTTAATCAAATTGATAGTGTGCTGTTAAAAAGCACTAATTAAAAATTAAATTAAATTATTATTGCACAGTTAAAAAGTACATTCATTTTTCATCGAAAACTTCACTTGAAAATCAAACTGGTATTTTACTGTTTAAAAGCATTTTAATTTTTCAGTGGAAATATTTACTTCAGAATCCAATTGATATTGCACTGTTAAAAATCGTGTTAGTTTTAAAAAGGATACATCACTTAATAATATTTACTCTAAAAAAATTAATTTGTTTGACCTAAAATGTGGTAGAATCGAATATCAATCCATCAAAAATGGTAGGAATGTTTTATTTGATACAAAGTGCAGTTGCTCACAATTGAAAAAAAAAAGTTTTTATTAGTGAAATGTTTACAGAAAATAAATCCAATTTTAATTATCGGCAACATGTCTTTCACAAGAAGAAAAAGAAAAAAATAAAAGTTTGATCTTGTATTTATAAGTTTCAGTTTCTGAAGTGAATTAATGATGAAAAAGACGACACACATAAAAGTAATCACAACACATGAGGGTTGATGAGAAGAAAGAACCACCACAGTTTCTGTTGCCACAAAACAAACAAAAGTCTGTGAAGGGAGGGAGGAATATTTAAATTTTTCCAGAATACGATCATCAGAAAAGGCAACATGTGATGAAACAGACTATCAGAAGGATGGAGTTCTATTCTAGTTTGGAAGGACGAATCAATCAGTCATCAGACGATTCTATGAGCAATTGGACTGGACTCACACACATATTATTCTATCGTGCGGGGGACGGAAAACAAGGGCTTCTCATTGTCTGAGAACATTCCATTCCCAAATGAGGAATTCTCTCCACCCCCACATTCGAAATGGGATTGACACAGGTTAAGAGAAGTGGTGGTTAAAACGGGAAATCCATGCCATGGTAGATAGGAAAGTACCTGCTGGATATGCGGCTCTTGCTGGGTACCTCAGGTGTTCGGGGTTTCAGTAGACTCCTTCCGTAGCCATAGGAGACAGGGGCGTAAAGGTCATACTGAGCTAGTGGAACCTTTGGCAGAGGAGCTGGTGTGCTCGGAACGTAGTGAGGGATGATTGGGAATTCTCGGTGTCGATGGTCCAGAGAATTGACAGTTGGAACATATAGATTCGTTCCATATCTATAGTTGTCGTTGTACATCAACAGGAGTGGTTTTCGCCATCTGCACGATACATCCACCATCTTCGAGAATTTTTTCGTTTTCGTTAGGGAATCTATTCGATGAGCAGCTAAGAGAATCAACTAAGCTCCGAGAAGTGTCTCTTGCGTCTAATACATGTGACTACTCTTCAAAGTAGATGCCCCAGAATTCTAGATCCAAAGAGAGAGAAAAGCCTGACGCTGCAAATCGGCTCCTATTTTAAGTTTATTTTCAGCCTTGGGTCAAAAGGCTGTCCTGATATTAAATTGAGATTCACCCGTTTCCTAGTTTAGAACGCGCTACTTCACTTCCACAGCCGAGAATAAAGAGTCTTTTTTTTGTGTGTGTGTGTGTGTGTGTGTGTCTATAGGTCGGCCATTTTTTTTTCTTCTTCTTTGCATTCATTACGTTTCTCATGACTTATTATTACACTGTTGGGGAATGAAAAAAAAATGTCAATTCCATTTCCTTCCCATTAAATTGTCGCATTTGTGAACCTTTACAAAAACTAATTAAATTAATCGGAATCAGATGCGAGAGAAATATTTTTTTATTTCATTTCACTTTTAATTTTTTATTTTACTTTAATTCTCTGTATTTTCAGAAGATGAAAAAACAATTTTTGAATGCTTGATAGCGGCCTTTTTTTCCCCCATTTCGAGCGAAAATTCATTTTTAATGGCTCATCTTATTTCATTTAATTTTTAATAACTTATGACATAGAGCGTTGACAGAAAATTTAAAAAAAAGAAGAGAAATTCTTTTAGCGTAATTTTTAAAGATTGTTGTGGTTGAAATAAGTATTTCAAAAGTACATCGAAATTTATATTCTTCAAAAAACGTAAAAAAAAGGGTTATTTATTTTTTACAAAACTAATGAAGTTAAGCCAAAACTTATTCCTGTTTAACATTATATATACAAGAATTTTAAAAATAGTCTGCTAACATCTGATGACCGTTTTTTTATCATGTTTCATTGTTTTGTAGAGTGGAATTTATTTAAATTATATGATCCGATATTTGTAAGAATATCCCACACTCAAAAAATCTCTAAAATGTTAAGTAATTTTTTATATTTGATTTTAACTTATTTGATTTTCGTCAAATTGAGAGACATTTGTGTTTTTATCTCATTTAGAACTCTAATATTTAGTAACTGTAATGAATTCAATTCAACGTGTGTTATCTAAACAACTTATTATTATACTTTCAAATGGTGAAAAATGGTCGTGTTTTTATCTTATTTAGAGCTTATAATTTCGTCTCAGTTTTGCTCTTAGTAATTTCGTCTTCTTTCTTATTTTGATTTCCACGGATGCTGAAAAAAAAATGTTTTTCTTTCTATTTTATTCTTCGACTGCTTTTGGTTAAAAAAAAATTTTAAGCCATCAAGATTCTAATAAAGTCAATAACGTCAAGACTCTACATAATGAATTTTTTTTCAAATTACAAATATATATATATATATATATATTTTTTTTTTCCAATTATATGTAATTTTCCCCTCTGTATTCTGGTAAGTTTGAACACTGCTAAAANTATATATATATATATATATAAATCACATTGCATCATTTTGCAAATTATGCAACAATGCAACAATATAATAGTATAATATTACTAGATATTATACCATACATAGTTATAAAATAATATAGTATGCTAAAAAAATATCTTACTATATATCGCAATATATAGTATTATAAATAATAATAATATTTAGTAATATGATAGGCAAGACTCTTTCATGGTGAGGAGAAAATTAATATACATTTTATTTATCGTGTGCAGATTTGAATGAAGAAGAATATTCTTCGTAAGAAATGAGTGTTGTTATAAATGAGAGAAAGTCTGTTGAAGGTCCTTTTCTATTTCTGTCCTTCTACCACAAGATTTTTCTGTATTGTTCTCTCCTCTTTGGCAACACTCCCGACTCTTTTGTTATATTTTTGCTCCACTGAATTGGCAGAGACTAAGGTGACCTTTATTCCACTTCTTCAGAAACGTGATCTCATCTTTTATCACAAAATAGAAAATAAGTAGCATTTAATTATCTTGCATAATCATTTTATAACACGAGTTCAATTGAAGCTTTTCATTTCTTATATTTTATAATAACATTTGCTCATTAAACCTTAAATTTGAGCAGAATGCATTTTTGATTCATAAAATTTATTTAAAAAATTGTATCTTTACATTTTTAATTTTCAAGAATTATTTGACTGGGATTCTGCTAAGTTTTGAGTTTTGTAAGTGTACACTCAAATGACGTAGCTTGGAGCCATGTAAAAGAATTCTTATATTCTTAATAGTCCAATTTTAAGTTCATTATTAGGACAAGTCATGCAAAATAAGAAATAATTTAAAAAAATACAGATATGTATATTTTGGATGAAATTATAATTGGAGAAATGTATTTAATAATTACTTGCGAAAGCTTTTTGGTTTACTTCTTTGGTTCCTCAGATATAGTGAAATTTGAAAAACATTTAAATTTCATTAGGGGAATAAAATATCAAATTTATATATCATATTATCATCATTATATATCATAAGAATCATATTTAAATTTTACTTCTCAAAATATAAAGATTGTTTGTTATTACCTCAAAATTTGGTCAAAAGTTATTTAAGGTGTCCGTTTCTTCATTCTGAAAGGAATCTTTGAAAGGAATAGAAATAATTTCATATTGATGGTCGTATGAAACTTACCGTTAGAAGACTTCATCATGAAGATTTTTAAAAATATAAATGCTTAAGTAAAAGTGTTTGTGAAGAAAAGAACTTGCGCACACTTATAATGTTAATGCTTATCTAAATATCTCATCCTAACTTTTAAATAAACATAAAACATTGCTTATTATAACATATTTGCTAAATAACCACCTTTGACCTCAATGTATAATTGTAAACGTAATAGTAGTAAATGTATATTTAAAATTATCTAATGGCCCATAACTCACTTTATCATGCGCAAAGCTATTTATGGAAATGCCATCCTATTATGAGCTTTAGCTCAAAATTTCCGAGCAATTTTATGATGGATCAAACAAAAACAAATCAAATGAACTTAAGTCTGGTAAATGGGGTGGCAATTTCTGTGCTGTAAAAGTCGAAAAATGTATTGGTCGTGAGTATCTTCTGCTCTGTTTGTTGGAGCATAATCCTATTGGAAAGTCCATTTTAGGTTTTAGATTTCTTTATGATATTTCTAGCCGAGGAGCTTATTTTTTTTCATGAATTTCTGATATATTGTGACATAAATATTTGGTTTTAAATTTTATCCAAGTTATTTTTTGTCATTCTATATTTTTGAAGCCTGATTGTATATTTCAACAATTATGTAGCTCAGTTGTGCTTTTTTCTTTTTTGAAAGATTAGCATTTATTTGATAATTTAATTTTTTTTTGTATTTTAGGTTTATCAATACATGTTTCTTCTCCCATGCACTCATAATATTCATTGCATCATTTATTCCTTGATTTCGATATAAAGAAATGAACATTTAAAAGCCGTTGATCATGGATACTTCTTCGAAATACCCTTAAAAAGACTATTTCAAGCAGATAGAATGCATTGAAAAATATTCGAATGTGTACGTGGGTGTGTGTTCGATATTAAGTGAGAGAAGGGGAGGAATGAGTGAAATGAAGAAAAGATTGTCTCATCCTTACACACTGAGTGAGGTGTCACGCCACTGCCACCCTGACGATTGCTGGATTATAGTGGGCGATCATGTGTATGACGTCACTTCTTTCTTAGATCAAGTAATTTTTTTTCTATATTCGTTATTATTTATTAATAAAAGAAAAGCAAGGGAACAAAATGAAAAAGGTTCTGTAAAGAACTGAATTTGAATGGTAACCAATGTGAAAAACAAAAATAAAAGTACTTACTTAAACTATAGCCAAGAACCTTCCTTATATTAGCATAAAATGACAGAAACTAGACAAGCACATGATTTAATCAATAGGGGAAGAGTTTGAACAAGATAATAAAAAAGGTTTAAAAAAAACAGGTGGGGGAGAATTGGGTGCAAGATGTAAAAAATATATTAAAATAGATTTCAAAATTATTTAAAATGGTAACAGGAAGATCATTCACTAAATTATTAGAAGCTAGTGGGCTGCACCCCATGCTCGCTGACGCTCGCCAACAGCCGAAAATTGCTACGCAATCTTATATGGTTTGAACCAAGCTCGCTTCGCTCGCTACTAACTTAGGTACATTGCAAATGCACAAAATTAAGAATTCAAAACAATCATTCAAATCCATATAACAACTTTTTAAAAAAAAAAAAAAATTAGTATTTTAGGAAAACTTTTCTCTATATAACATAAAATCGTAATGGTCTGACACCGTTTTCCATTGTTGTCGGTTCATTTTTATTGGCCGGAAAATCACGTGGTAGGATCCAGTTTTTCTCCATTCATTTCCATATTGTTTAGGTTGTCATCAACAGATCACACTTGGTGAGAATGCTCTATCTGGTTATTTCAGTTTCCGTTTTTAAAAGCGCTATATGTTGAGCCACCTCATCTAGATTTGGCATGTGACATTTTTAGCGGCAATCAGTGGTCGATTTTCTAGTATTGTCATTCGAGGAGTTGTAATGAGGCTTTTTTGTCGCCGTGTAAGAGAAATATATATAGAGAGATTTTAATGAAACGATTCAATGTCAAACGTCGGTAGATCTAGAACCGTGTTGAATGATTTTAGTAGAAGAAAACTCGTACCTATGATTGATGGAGTGATTCAACTATAGTATATGTCCATTTCTTTACCTTAAATTGTGCTTTATTCATATGCAGCACCTCCTTTGGATTCACTGAATTTATCATGAATCTTGTAAAAGCTCAGAATAGTTAGGATAAGTTGACGAGCAGTTCACTCAATCGTTTCTTTAATTAATATATGTTTTTTTCAGAATCTTTGCCAATCGAGGAAGAAACAAAAATACTATCGAAATTTTTGAATGAGTCAGGAAAGCGAAACTAAAGACATCAAAACCAATAGATGCCTAATGAAATTTAGTGCCGCAAATTATAAAATTTTTTATAATTTTGATTTCGCTTTCCTTAGTAGTGTTTTGTTAACACTGGGCTTTCGTCTATTCTTTCCCAACGGAAATATTAATTTGCGTTCCCTTATGTACATAATTTTTTTCTAAAGAAACATATATTACTGAACACACTTGAATGACATTGAATGTAGAATTTAATGGAAGAAAGAACAGTACGGAAAATTAAAAATTAAAAAATCCAACTGACTTTTGATACAATAATCGGGTTACCACTTGGCCTTAATGGTTTGAGGACCTTAAACTTAAACATGGAAATTAATTAGTGCAAGTGATAGTTAAAGTTATGAAATCAGACACAAAAGTGTACATTCTACGAATACATAAAAAAAATTTTCATATGGATTTGGATTCTTCACTTTCAACATATTGAGGGTAAATGTAATTTTATTTCATTTTGTAACCCTTGTTGAACTGCCGTCCCAATATTTGAGTTTACGATTGCCAATGTTTAACTCCATTAGCCTTGTAAATTTGAACCCAAACCAGAAAACACTTAAACTCCTGGATCAAGTAATGGAAGAAATTTGCCTTCGTTGAAGACTTTTTGATGGAACTAACTTCTATTTGCGTTGCATGGATTGGAAAAACATCAAAACCACCAACAGTATTAACCCTAACGGCAAGGGAACTTTAACTCATGATCCGTCTACCACTGAGGATATTTTACGTCCACACTGTGTTCGGTTTGAACTGAGTGCTGAATTCATTTTGACCAGACATCGCTGGGATTCTAAGACGGGCGTCTCCTTTCGAGGCTAGTGCTCTATCCCCTGAGCCACCGCGACTCGGGAAATGTAATTTGTATGTATGTATTTGTAATTTGTATTTGTATTTGGAAATGGAAACGCAATTGTCCTAGAAGTTTGGTCAGGAAGACAGTTGAAAGTTTATATTCCTTAATGTCAATATCTCTTTTTTCCATATTACACTCTCGAGAAATTTCAAACCGAACTTTTGTATACAGTTATAAAATTCGTTTATCTAAAGATAATTCCTTTTAAAAAAATTATTTTAATATTTATTATTTATTTTATTTAATAATAGCAGAAAAATTTTTGAAATTTAAGACATACTAATTTTAACGTAAAATTATATAAGACAAACGAATTTTATAATCGTAGGCAGAAATTTTAACATTCACTGTGGAAGTTCTTGAGACATAGCAAATAATGCAAAATAATAAAATTTATATTAAAAGATCCTAACTTTTGGCTGCTTTCCTGATCAATTGGGACCCTGAAATCCCCCTCCCCCCAAAAAAAAATCGAAAAATATTTATTTATGTTATTTAAATTGTCATGCGCTAATTAATGAGCATATTTCAGATAATGCCCTCGAACCACTATGATTGAGTCCTAGTGCACAAAAATCGAATAATGAGATTCAAATATATTCTAAGCCTTTAGTTTTTTTTACTTTGCGTAGTATATACTGCGAGGAAGCCCGAAATTTCTAAATTAAAAACAAATTCAGCAATCAATTATACGTATGGGAAGGTGATAAAAAAAAGACAGTTTTTATTAAAATGTCCATTAACTAATTCCTTAAGTTAATTATTATTTTCTTAAACTTATGTTTCTCTGTTCTAGCACGATTATACTCGAATGACAATAAAAAACGAATGTTTTATTTTTGTTTCTGAAACAGCATCCGGGTGGTAAAGATGTGTTGATAGAACAAGCTGGTAGAGATGCAACACTCGCCTTCTTTGGTGCTGGACATCACGAGGGCACTTTCCAGCTACTGGAACCCTTCTGCATCGGCATCTTGGTACAGGTTAGTCATACAGAGTTTCATTTGTCTCGTCACTCAGCTGCTTCTCTCTGCAAACCTGCTTCTGCAATGAGAAGCAGGTCTTCATATTATCGTAAACTCCTTTGTTGAAATTGAATATTGTAAATTCTTTTTATTGTAGCAATTTGCCGCATTCTGTTATTCTGACTGACCGAAAAGGTTTATATTTTCAAGTGAATATCAGCATAATCCATTTATAACCATCCAAAGTACAATAAAAGTCCGTCATAACGACAATTCATAACAGCTGATAAAATTGTCGTTATAAGCAAAGCTTGTCGTTTTAATCAAACAGTATTAATGGAATGGAATCAAGGCCGGATTAACCTATAGGCACACTAGACACGTGCCTAGGGCCTACGAAATTCAGGGGCCTACGAAAAACTTGGGAGAAAAAAATTTGTTGGCAAAAGTAATTTAGCTTTAAAAACAACAAGTGTATTTTGCACAAAATTATGAAGATACAAATAAAAATATAATATTTTTCGGTAATAAATTATTTTGCAGAATCTTATGATGTAATATACAACTTTTTTGGGATTTTTGGATTCGGCAGTATGTCGGTATTGCAGATAAAGTTCGATAAACAAATTTGAAAATTAAAATCCATATTAATAAAAATGTAAAAAAAAAAAATATGCCAGAAAATTTTAGCATATATTTTGAAAAGAGGGGAGGAGTGGGGGAAGGAGGGGAGGGCCCAAAAACGGCTATGCCTAGGGCCTACGAAAGGTATAATCCGGCTCTGAATGGAATAGACATCTCTTTTTCTATAAACAACTATTTCGATTTAAAATAGATTGTCTTCGTCCACAGAATTACACTTAGCTCTACTTTACGGAATGAAAAAATGTCTACTACAGGAATATTTAAACAGCAAGTCCCGAATTGTAACAAGCTTTTGCAAAAAGAATATGAAGTGAAGTGCAACTTTATTGATAACACTGAACGTTGTTTTAAATTGTTATAAAACATGGAAATAAAGGGTCATTAAAGAAGAGTAGTAAAAAAAGGTGCTTTCTTTGGAAGTGCGAGGCAGGGTTAATAAAAGACAGAGAAACCCTGCCCATCTCCAAGAGAACTTTTTTTTTGTTATGATAACTTAGCCGGTGGTCACCAACACATTGTTTTATAAAATGAAGGGGGCTAAAATTGTGAGAAGGTAATAATGATATACGTATTTCTGTATTAATGCCAGAAATAAGGTCTTAAAGGTATCGCTCTACCCCCGCAGAGGGTTTACGTAAGCATCATTTGATGAACTCTGTGCGTGTACGAAATTGTAGAAAGCACTCAAGAGCTTCCACGTAGCGAAAGTGCGTATTCGAAGGGAGCACGAAAAACTCGATTCGCAGACAGGGTTGCCATATGCAGTATTGTCAATACTACTGTAGTATTTTTTCACCAAAAATAGGGATGTAGTATTTTTCATAGTATTTTTTTTATTTAAAAAAAGTGGTATGTTTTTGTTTATTTTTCTTTTTACAATTCTTAAATCAAAGAGAAGAAGCGCCACTCTAGTTTTGAACTAAAAAACAAGTTTTAAAATACGCCAACCGTTCGTTTTCTTCTAGTCACTCCATCTAGTGATGATTTCGAAAAATAAAAGATGCAGTATTTTTTATTTTTACATTCTGGCAACCCTAGTCCCACTCTACAAGGCTAACGCACGGAGATCAAACCCGGGTCCAGGAGAGCTGCCGTCAGTAAGACGGCCTCGATCCACTGGCCCCGATCTGTAACCGGATGTCTGAACAACAAACCCTACTTTATCGATTATAAATTTACATCAAAATTACACTAAAGTGATAAAAAGTCCGGAGTCTAGTTTGAACACCAAGTACAGAAAATCTGTAGAAACTTTTGTGACTGAATATGGAAATGATGCACGCATGGCAGATTCTTGTACTCTTTTTATGCTTGCATGTCAACTGTTAATTTAATAATCATTATATTTTTCTTTCTTTTTTTCAGCATGAGAGAATTCGCAGTAACGTATCCCAAGAAGTTGTAGTGGCAGATTGACCTCCAACTTTTTATTTATATTCACATTTCATCATTCTTTCTTCATTGAAAAAAGTGCATGTGTTCAATTTCTTCGAATTTTCTTCACGGACTAAAGCACGAACATTCAATTCCTCTCATTTTCTTCATTGAAAATCCTACCTCATTTTCTTCGCTGAAAATAAGTGCAAGTGTTCAATTCCTCATCATTTTGTTTTCATTGAAAAAAGATGCCTTGGAGACACTCTTAAACCACGTGACGAACAAATTAGAGAGATGGTGAAGTAATTAAAGAGCTGCATGGATGAAGGTTCTAATGGACCTAATAGCAAATTTGAGTCAAAAAGTCATCGATAATAATAAGAAATAAAAATCATAGTTGGCCTCAAGCTGCTATATGGAGAAATCTTAAAATTACTCGCGCTTATTTAAACTGTTCGCTTCGTACCATTCTCACTCTGGGCATTTTAAACTGCCGTAAAAAGGCAGGTTTAATAAGATTACTCATTGACTGTTTGTTGCCGAATGAAATACTCTTCAATTATGAGAACATGTGCTTTTTACTAACTTCCTCCTCTGAGATGACAGAAATTTAACTGCATGAGAAAATATATGAACGTTCAATAGTTAAATAAGATCATTCTCCGAGAAGTCTCAGTTTTTGTTCCTAAACGTCACATATCTATTCGCATATCATCCTTATTTCTTCATTGAAAAAAGTGAATGTGTTCAATTTCCTCTAATTTTCTAAAGCACAAACAGCCTCTCATTTTCTTCATTAAAATGTCGCCTCATATTCAATTATACATTGAACCATTCTTTGATCATTGAAGACACTTACACTGGACATAACTGGACACGTGAAGTTTCAATTTGACGATAAACGTACTTCTTTAAAATGTAATTTTATTTAAATAAAAATATTTTATCTGTATTAAAGTTTCTATGTGTGTCACTGTTGAATTTCTTACAGGTCATGTTAAGCTTATGATTCTTATTACAAATTTTTTTTTAATAAGCTGTAGTATATGCGAACAAATTCTATGTACTCAGCAGGTCTCATAAAAATGCATTTTTTTTTATCTCTTATACGATGCAATGCATATTTAGTTCAAAAGTTAACTGTAAAATATTAATCAGGTGCAAAAATACGGAGTATTCATCAATACTCGTCTTTAACTTTCATTTTCAGAATCCTTGTCAAAAAGGAAGTGAAAAAACATATGCTCATTATAGGTTATTACGAATCCAATATATAAGCAAGTAAAAAAACAAACACACGATCAAAATTTAATAAAATTGTTTGCAAAAAAAGACGAGACTGAACATCCAAATAAGTTTGATTAAAAAAAAAGAGAAGAGTTAAAGGGCTGTTATTAGAAACATCTTCAAGTCTTCATCTAAACAAACTGCTGAACTAACTTCATCTAGTCAAACATCTTCAACGATCAAATTGATTTTGTCTTATTTTTCAATCCGCCTTCTTCAGCTGTGATTTGTCTCACTATTAGCCCTCCAATCTAATATGTGGCCACGTAGTGCGAGTCAGTTTTTCTTCGTATTATCATTTACGATATATCTTAGATTGCCGTCAGTAGCCAATTAATGTAGCTTTAGTGAGACGCTTACGTATAATGTGCGGCTTTGAGTTTAAGTTAGATTGAAAACAAGAAAAGAGAAGAGCTTAAAGGCTGTTATTAGTAGCATTTTCAAGTTTCTTTATCGATCAAATTAATTCTGTTTTGTTTTTCATCCCGCCTTCTTCAGTTGTGATTTGTATCACTATAATCCCACCTATCTAATATTTGACCATGTAGTGCGCGTCAGTTTTGCCTTCGGATTATCATTAACGATGTATTGACATCAATAGCCAATTAATGTAGCCTAAGTGCTACGTTAACGCCTAATGTGCGATCAAACCAGTTGTCATTCCATTTTTCTTAGCTTTACAATCCCTAATGCACAGTGCAAAATACAAATTGAAACGAAATCGGTAAAACAGTTCCTGACTAATATTAAATCTAATATTAAAAAAATCGTTATATTTATTAATCAAATTTTTTAACAACTATTTAATCAATTTCTTTGTATTTTTTCATTTAAAATTTCATTCTCTAAATTATGCTAAAATTCGTATATCTTATAATTCACATTTTTTTCCGACTATCACTAAATTAAAAAAAAATTAATACTAATTAAAATAATTTTTTACTAGGAAATTATCTTTCGAAAAACGAATTTTGTAACTGTGTACAAAATTTTTCCGTTGTTTAGTTCTCGAAGTTTAACGAAACACGCAAGAAGTAAAATTAATATTGAGGGGTCCAAACTTTCAATAATTCTCCTGATCAAACAATCGGTTTCATATTTCACAGTTTGCGGTGATCCTAATATTTTGAGGATCAGAAATTTAATTCTATCGAAAGAAATCTATGCTTATTTAGAGAAAGTAAGTTTTTGTGTCAAATTTCGTAACTTAACATATCATTTTCATTAACTTATTAGCATTTTTGAGGTCAACCCCGCTGAATCCTGAAGATTGAGTACTTGAAAATCCGATTATTGGATCAAAATTTATTCAGGATGTTTCTTTATTTTTTTGTTCACTGTACGATTGGGATGTCTCTTAGCTGTTACAATATTCCCAACAACATACCTTGGCCCCAGTTTGGCTCAAAATTGGCTCAATACGGGTCCTACATGAACATGTTCCGAGGGACCAATATTGGGATGTCTAGATTTTTTAATATTGGTCCTACGCAGCATCAATATCGGCCTATATAGCACTACTATAGGACTTATATTGTCTGAATAATGATTATAAAATATCGGGTGAATCTGAAAATTCTATATAGGGCTGATATTGGTTTTAAAGTGGCAGTAAAATATCGGGTGAATTTGAAAATTCTATATAGGGCTCAATAAAAAGTGGCAGTAAAATATCGGGTGAATCTGAAAATTCTATGTAGGGCTGATATTGGTTTTAAAGTGGCACTAAAATATCGGGTGAGTCTGAAAATTCTATGTAGGGCCGATATTGGTTTTAAAGTGGCAGTAAAATATCGGGTGAATCTTAAAATTCTATATAGGGCCCATGTCGGAAAAATAAAGACCCTTTGAACCCTTATTGAGCCAAGATTCGTGAATGTTGGTCCAATGTGGGCGCAAGTTATTTTGCTGCTAGGGACTGATGTTCTCACTCCCTGAACTTGTTCCAAGCAATACTAAAACAGATTATCCACTGGATTTGCACAATTACAGAATAATCATCATTCACCATGAAGATGGAACACTTGTTGAAAAATTAAGAATTATTATGTTTTTTTTAATAACAACAATTTTTATTAGGGAACCACAACGAACAATTTAAGTAGAATTAAAACTTAAAGTATTGTTTCCTGAAAATGGATTTAGTAAAAATTTTGCATATTTGATTGTCTCAGGAAACGATCTGTTAAATACATTGTTTGCCATTTTCATCATTTGTGAGAAAATTATTGCATTCTTGCATTAGTTTTTACAGCATCATTCACAAGTTTTGTTTTTTTTCCTTGCATAACAATCCAAAAAAAAAGTCTGATACAAAATCTCGTAAAATTCTTATACCGAAAATTAAAAAACACAATAAAAAATCATGATTTGTGAAGAAAAAAATTACTTTTGTGCAAAATTTATTGCTTTGATGATTTTTTTTCTTCTTTACCTTAGCAAGTTAAAATTTCTTATTTAGTTCAACTATTGCCATATTTGTTTCATCTATAGTTGAATCATCATAGCTATTTGATAAGGGTAAAGCTATAGTTCAGAGAGCTATATGTAATGTTTTACTGCTTTCTTTAAAAGTTATTTTAGAGAAAGCAGTAAAATCCCTTTCCCTTTTTGTTTGCATTTGAAACGAAAAACTCAGACTAAATTAGCGGATTTTATAAGTAACAATTAAACTTAAGAACGCATGTGGTAATGTACGTTTAAAATTACTTTTATAATAAATGCAGCTGTAATTTTATGCATAAATTTACCATATTTTAAGTTAAAAATTTATGCAGCATGATAGTGTAACGCTGGATAATTCTTTGCTCTATTCTTGCTTTACATGCAGATTTCTTTTATGGTTAAGATTTATAAAATAAATAGTAGATTCTAGTTTACAGGATAAAGGTGCATCAATTGCTATTTTAATTATGTCTAGTGTTTATGAATTTAAAACCCTTTTTGTGCTGTTTAAGTATTTCAAAAGGTGATTTTCTATTTTATGATTTTTCCATATAACGAACTTATTATCGGAATTTAGCGACTTCGTTAAATAGAGGTCCGGCTGTGTATCTCTGGAGGTACTGAATTGGGGATTGATCGTTATCTGGTTCAGGTCAAAATTATGATCTGTGGATGAATGAATGGATGTATTAATGGGGCTGTGATATAAACGAGATGTGACGTGTGTGTGGTTGAAGTCATATTCTTGGCCATGAACGGCGCCACTGAAAAAGAAACAAGAAAGATACTCTGTGTCTTAAATTCGCTAGGTTTCACAAAGCAGGCTTGCTGATATTGGCAAGTGGCATTAGAAACAACAACATCCTATTTAATGTTCAATTTTGTACAATATATGTATAAAAATAGAAGCAGAAAATCTAAGCCAAAACGAAACTTGCAACCTTTATATTTCTTTATATAATAGTTTCACAGATAAAATGTGTATACATGTGATTTTAGCATCAACGTTCATGTCGATTAAGGGAAGTAGAAGAAGTCTATACCACAGATTGGTCAGAATCACAGAATCTGGTATATTATAATTGATTAACCATTTCGCACGAAAGCATTTAAAATGAATGTAAAGTCGTGATGAAGATAGATGAATTTTCGCTACTTGATTATTTTCACAGTTTTATTCTTTCTTTGAGTCTTTTCCGTTATTTTCAACAGTTGAATTGAAGTTTTGGGTACAGTTCTTCTTTTTCTTCTCTTTCCACCTTTTTGTTCTGTGTTGTGAATATTTTTCTTCCTCTTCTTCTTTATCAGCTGCTTTTTTCTTTTTCGCTTTATTTTCAATTTTCTCGGTTTTCGCCTTACTTTGCGTTTCTTCGACTCGGGCACTGCATCTTTGATTTGTTCTTGAGGCAGTCGAATAGCCTGTTGATCCAGCTTGTTGATTGGTTGTTGTGCTGGTGGAGGTTTCGTAGTTTCTTCGACGCCCTGTGCAGATCTGTCGTGGCTACCAAAAAATCGACTGTAGTATTCGTAAGTAAATTCGTCCGTGGAATCACCTTCCTTATCGAAATTCGTAATCAAAGATCTCTTCCATCTAAAAGAGCTCATTCTCTCCCTCCTCCTCTTCTCTCTCTCCACACACTCAAACGAGATTTTATTTAGAAATACAATCCTGAAAAAAAGATAATAGTGAGGTTTAGTATTTTCTCATGGTTTGCTGCAGGTTCAACGTGTGTATGTTGCTTGAAATCTCCGTAGAGCAGCTGTTGTTTTTAGTTGCAGGAAACATTATTAAAAAATATATATATATATATATAATTTTAAAAAACTATAAGACCTACTTAACTCCGTTCCAAGTTAAGAAAACACCATTGCGATATAGGATTTCAGTAATCATCCTCGAATGCATATAGTTCCGTTTAATTTGGTTATCAAATCATATAAATATGCTTTCAAGACAATATAAAAAGTTAAACTTGTCAGACAGAAATTTTATTCGTGCTATCTTTTAAGATATATATCATATACACTATCATATAATTTTTTAAAAAAGGATTGTAATTTCGTAGTCTTACTGGATTACTAGATTTGGCGACATATTTCGATAATTAAAGAGAACATTCGTTCTTCAAAAATAAAAAACTATATGACGTTGCAAGAACATTGGATATGATTGGACCACTAAAAAAAGCACGTCTTATGCTGACATGCTTTTAACAAATC